TTGGCTGAGATATATACCCGTGGGATCATCCGACTCCACGGAGTGCCCGTCACTATAGTATCAGACAGGGATCCCAGATTCGTCAGCAGATTCTGGCACAGCTTACACGAGGCGATGGGCACGAAGCTAGAGTTCAGTTCAGCCTACCATCCGGAGACAGACGGTCAATCAGAGCGGACTATTCAGACGCTTGAGGATATGCTTCGCGCTTTGGTTGTTGACAGGGGTGCTAAGTGGGAGTCGTTGTTACCGTACATCGAGTTCGCGTATAACAACAGCTATCATTCTTCCATCCAGATGGCTCCTTACGAGGCACTTTACGGTCGCAAGTGTCGTTCCCCTCTTTATTGGGACGACGTCGGAGAGCGGCGAGTACTCGGTCCTAAGTTGATCGAGGAGACAGCAGATCAGGTCGAGTTGATCCGGCAAAGACTCAAGACAGCTCAGAGTCGACAAAAATCTTCAGCCGATCATCATCGATGAGATATTCAGTTCGAGGTTGGCGAGCCAGCCTTTCTCAGAGTTCGTCCGATTCGCGGAGTTGTGCGATTCGGAAAGAGAGGGAAGCTGCACCCTCGATTCATTGGTCCGTTCGAGGTTCTCGAACGAGTAGGCGAGGTCGCGTATCGATTAGCCCTACCTCGCGAGTTATCAGGCATTCATAATGTATTTCACGCATCAATGTTGCGTAAGTACGTGTGAGACCCCGATCATGTCATTCCCCATTCAGATATTCAGGTTCAGCCAGATCTTTCGTACAAGGAGCGACCGGTAGCTGTATTAGACCGTCAGGTTCGTCGGCTCCGGAAGCGAGATGTTCCCCTCGTGCGTATTCAGTGGGATCGCCACGGAGCTACTTGGGAGGCGGAGTCCGATATTCGCGCTCGTTTTCCAGATTTTCAGTTCTGATGTACATATTTTCTTGTTCTATGTACATAGTTCATGTATTTTCAGTTATGTTTTGAATTTCCGAGGACGGAAATTTTGTAAGGAGGGAGGATTGTAATATCCCGTCAGTTTATCAGTATAAATTATATCTTTTAGTTCCAATATTAATTTTTGGAATTAATTATTTTCAGTCAGTTCAGTCGAAATTACCAGAAATTAACTTCGACGTACCGTTTACGTTCGGAATAATTTTGGTAATTAAGCATTATGTTTACTTTAATAATTAAACATAATTGAGGGATTAATTAATAATTAATCCAAGATTAGTAATTTAAAATCGTTCGTATTTTCCAAATTTTTCCTCCATAATGTCGTACCTTAAGTGGAAGGAGTTGGTGAATTTGGTCCAACTTTTATTTCATTTTTAAGACCTAAACGTGGCATTAGATAAGCTTAAGAGGGTGATTAGTCATTACTCTAGGACCTTAAATCATTACCAAGTGTCATTAAGAGATTAAATCTCCAAGCTATACCTTTCGGCGCCTCAAGTATTTAAGGGAGGAGTTTGGAAAATTTTGTTCCATTTTCTTCATTTAGTACCTTAAATGCCGAGAGTTGTGGGAGCTTGGTGAGGAATTTTAAGAGATTGTACACAAGTTAGCAACTACCGAGTCAACGCACACAAGCCACAAGCATCCGTACGCATAGCAGTAGCACTCCACGGCAGTCAGCGCATCGCACGGCGATCAGGCATACGCAAGCACCTGCTAGTGTTGTAGTAGTCCGTCGTACGCTACGCCACAAGGTACCGCACGGCGTCGCACGCACGCGGAGAGCCACGCGAACACGGGAGTCCGAAGTAGTGTTGTCAGTTGAGCATAATCGGAGGTAAATTCCCTGTCGTTGTAGGTTGAGATTATCATGTCTATTAAGCTCAGTTT